TATTAACATGTTATAAAAATGGGCTGTCATGTTAATGTGCTCATAGTTTTTCCATCAATAATTCTTGATCATTGAGAGCTAGAGAAGTATTTCTTCCTGATACGGGGCAGCCACAGCAGTGGGAACATCACTGTACCTGGAGGAGGGGGAGGGCCCCTGCGTTCCCTGTCCCAGGAGGGAGACAGTGAGCCACTATCAGAGTGAGGGCCACTCCGCTCAAAGTCTTGCCCACCACTAGGGGGCTCTCCCACGCCACGGGATGCTGATTATGTGACAGTGAGAGTGAAGGAAGATGAATGGAGTGGAGAGAGACGGCACATAAAAATGTTTGAGGAAATTAAGAATAGAAAAGGGGAGGAAAGGGAGACAACCAACGAAATATTAACGAGGGTAATGAAACACAAAAAGGCTTTTCTATATGCAAACTTGGGGAATGATTTGCTACCCACAGTTTAGTATGCATTTAAATGCAAAAATTCATTTTTTTACTCCAGACTTCAGTGTCACATGATCCTTCAGAAATTATTCTAATATGCCGATTTGCTGCTCAAGATACATTGTTATTATCATCATTGTTGAAAAACAGTTTAATATTAGGTAATATATATTTTGAGTATCAAATGAATTGATTTAAAATAAAATATTTTGCAGCATTATTGTCTTTACTGCCACTTTTGATCAATTTATTTGCATCCTTGCTGAATAATTTCATATTGTACGTATAATATTGTATTAATCTCTTTAAAAAAAAAAAACGTACTGACCCCAAACGTTTGAAGTTTGTAGTGTATAGGTAGCTTTTATTTACCAAACCATACACAAACCAAACCGTGAGAAATCAAACCCGTTACACCCCTAATGCAAACATATCAACTATATCTAATGGGAAGTGAACAGGATTCATGCATGTGCTACACAGACACATACAGAATACTACTTTAGATAACCATGCTAAACTAAGACTGACAATGCAAAAAAATGAATCACATTTGTCATACTAGCTAGAAGACTTTTCCCAGAATTAAAAAAGGGAGGGATGTGTGTATATCACCTCTGCTTGGACCCATAAACTGCGGTGAGAGTCGAGGGGGTCCGTCCATTAGTGTAGGCGGGGACAGGAAGGCCCGTGTTTCTGAGGATGGTCGGCTAAGAGGAGAGGGTCCATATGGAGATCTTTCACCTGTGAGATGGAGAAATGCATATCTGAAGGTTACCACCATTTTAAACATAGACATGTACGAGCCAAAGGGAAGTGGAAAGTATCTGACCTCTAAATAAAGGTCTGCCCTCTCGTACATCCTTTTCAAGTATCTCAGACTTGAATTGGGCATCAGTCAGCCTGCAATAGTAAACACATTGATATGTTTGGATAAATACAGGTTCTCCTGTATATAAAACAGTACAGTAAAATACTCTAGTCAATCTCACTTCTGGCGGAGATGAGCGTTTTCTCTCTTGACATCAGCCAGGTCTCGATCTGCTGCCCTTGCGGCTAGCTATAACACAGAAAATAAGAACAGTATAAAAATAACATCTGACACAATGAAGCTACTGATGACTGCTATGGATTAAATATAAGTGATCTGAAAACAACTTACCCAGTTATCATGAGCCTTTTTCTCATGAGAAGCAATCTGGTAGAAAAAAACAAACATATATAATAAATATTCACATATAAAAATGATAAACTGATATTATATCAATATTTATGAGACATCACTCTCTTTTGTGGTGGTAAAAGAAAAGTTAATATAATACATATTTATATAAAATTATTATTATTTGTAATATAATTGTATTTATTATACATCCTCGTATTGGTCATACATACAAGTCTTATTTGTGGTAGGAAAAACATTTTTTTTATATATAATAAATATTTATTTATAATAATTGTAATTAATGAATTATGCATCCTCATATCAGCCACATAGCTCTATATCATAATGATAGACTGATAAAAGGATGTATAATGTCTCCCCCTAATGTCAGTTCCAAAATCTACCAACAATTTCATCAATTGACAATGCACATTTTGTGGTTTCAGATATTTTTATATGAAAGTATTTTGAGTACATTTTGTATTAAAATAATAATAGGCTATAGTAAACATATTCAGTGTGGGTATCATCAGCATGTGTCACTGAAGAACTTCTATCTATATAAATCATGTAGAGATGTTGTAACTCTATATAGCATTACTAGTGTGTCACCTGATTCTTATAGGCATGTGAAGTCCTTTCCAGTTCTTCCTCTAGGTCTTTGGCTCGATGTCTATATAAACACAGTGAAAGAGACTATAATGTAAACGTCCTGTTTTGGTGAACATTCATCTTGCATCATGTTTCCTGCCCTTCTCAGAGACCATTTCCTTTGATTTTATCACATGCTATATAATACTAAACTTCCTCATGTGTGCGATACAAGTTGTTCTGACCTGTAAGTGTTGAGCTCCTCTGCAGCAAGACTGATCTTCTTGCCTGCCTTGTTGAGCTTCTCCTCCTTTTGCAAGCGCTCCTTCTCCTCCACTGTCAACATCCTAACAAGAATACAAGAAATAATTAAATTATTAGCATTAGTATTTGAATTTCCAATAAAAAGACACTGCAAAGTATAATGAGTGGAAGATGAAGATTTTCCACGGTCCAAACCTGTGTAGTTTGAGTTCATTCTCCTGGTACATTTCAGTCATGATCTGGAGTTTCTGCTGGAGTTTCTGGCTTTCACTAGCATAGTTGGCACTCTCCGATTCCAATACCTCCTTCTGCTCCTCAAGGTGTTTGATCCCCTCTGAGAATATAGAGAAACAAGTCTTCATTTACAGTCTGAATGATCATGTTTGATATAATCAGGCCAAAGCAAATCAGATCCACTTTTATTGCTCATAATATTTGCAGAGCAGGTGTTTTCCTATAAAATCATGTAGGAAAGCAAACACGTTCTGATGTTATGATTAATTCAGTAAGATAAGAGTACAAATCAATTGAAAATAAAACCTTAACATGCCTAAAGATTCCCACTATGGATGAATAAGTCACATCATCTTTCTACAATCAATCAAAATGTAATAATTTATCAAATTAAAAGGTTCATGCATCAGCACCTGTTTCAATTCTAGTAAACCCAAAGTTTTACCTTGAAGATCTTCTTTGGCTTTAACTTCATCTGCGAGTTTGGCGAACACTCTGTTCTTGTCCTCCTCCATGGACTTCAAGTCTGCACTCATCTGTGACAAAGAGGAGGACTAAACTTATCTACAGCATCATATCTGTTAGCAGTATATCTGCATATTCTGGATGTAGACAGATGTTATTCATTTAATCTGACACAGAAGGGTTGTGCTTCAAACCCCAGCGAGCTGCCATACTTGACAGCATGTTTGGCAGTCATATGTGGTATCTAGGTGTTTCACTAGGTTTCAGATTTGAGTAGGAATACCTTGGCCGCTTCAATAAGTTTCTGTACTTTTTGCTTCTGATGGAAATCTGCAAGCACAAAAAACATGAGATGATATTTCAAGACCTGACTTCAAATATAATATTCACAAGTGAACCTCAAGAGTTTGTACCTGAACTGTCTCCATTCTCAGCTCCAGTTGTATTAGTGCTGCCGTCAACGCAGCTCTCGTCCTCAGAATCCCAATCTCGCATCTTCAAAAGGCACTCCGTCAGTGACTGATATAAGAAAAGAAACGGAAAAATATATATTTTTTAGAAATGTAGTTTTACCATGTTGTGCACTAGACTGCCAGCAATATATTGCTTAATCAATTAATATTTTTCTGTTTTCAAATACTTTTGAGTAAAGTTTAAATAAATACTGTCTATTTAAGAAAATATTTAATTATTTAATATATATATATATTGTTAGGGTTGCAAAGGGGTGGAAAATTTCCGGTAAGTTTCTGGAAACTTTCCAAAAATCCCTCGAATATTCCAAAAAAATCCTGGAAAGTTTCCACCTTTTTGCAACCTAGATTAGATCACATTCACTACCATTTGGGGTCAGTAAATTATTATTATTTTTTTAAAGAAATTATTTGTTTTATTTAGCAATGATGCATTAATATGACCAAAAGTGACAGTAAAGACATTTACATTGCTATATAAATTATATATATATATATATATATATATATATACACACACACAGAAATATTTACTGAATATATACACTATATCGATACTGAAAAAAGTAAGATACTTTTTTTTCTATGAGTCTGGTGAGATTTTTTGGGTGTGTTTTTACCTTGATGCGATCATCTTTATTAGCGCAGTCCTCCAGCATGCCAGTATGTGATCTTTCGCACATTGTCATCTCCTCCTCCAGCTCACCGAGACGTTCACCCCAGTCCTCTGCCTCCTGCACCAGCTGTATGAGAGATGAACACATAAGCACTCATGTTACATGTATGTTTAGGCAGTAAGCCATGAAGCGGCTTGCATTACAGTGATTTTATTGTTCTGTTCATCTTCTCCGAACTAAGTACCCTAACACAGATCTGACCTGTGCTTTACTCTCGAGCAGCATCGCATGCTCTTCTTTGGCTGCCTGCAGGTTCTTCTGCAGTCGCTCTGTGTTGATCTCATGGATCTTCAGTGTTGTGTTGTCCTACAGGAGGAACAGATATCTTAAAATGTTAAAGTGTTTTAAAAGGAAATATGACTGAAACATGCGTCATATACATAGTCAATACCTGTTCTAACTGGGACTTTCGTTCTTTGGCTTCCTCTTCTAAATTTCTTAAAATCTGCTCGAGTTCAGCAAGCTGTAAAACAAATATAACAGCCTTTAGGACAGATACAGACAACATAAAGGGCATCAAGCATGAAGAGGGTAGTTTGGATATGTAAAGTGAGTGTATCTGTGTGTATGACAACATCACCTGATCCTCTTGCTGTTTTCTTGCTTTGTTTTGTTGGGATAGCTCTTCTTGCAGCCTCTCTATTTCCTTTTTCATCTGTGCATTTGATTGTTCAAGCTTCTGTGACGCCACCTAAGGGCAGTATAATTGGATTAGGTAACTAGGGGTCAGGGAGACACATTTATAAACATCAGTGAGCCAAGTAACTGCATGTTTTTTAACAGGAAGATTTGAGACCATAATGACCATTTTACCTCTAAATTGTCTTTTTCTGCAGCTTGTGCAGACATGCCATTGTTCTGTAGTGTGAACTCTAGTTTGTCAAACTGTTGAGACAGACAGACATTGTTTAGATGGACTGATTCAGGAGAATGCATTTATACAAGTATGGATGTATATTATGTGTTTAGAGCATATACCAGCATTTCTCACCTTCTGTTTAACCTCACTGAATGTCTCCAGCACTTTGCATTTTTCATCAAGCAGTTCAGCCACTTTCTGCGCCATTTGCTTCTCTTTACCTGCAAACAAATCAACAGACAGGATCAGTTGAGAGCTGACAGTGGAAATCAGTTAAAACAGATACTGAGGATAGGTTTAAAGCTGGAAAAACACTCACTTGCATACAATCGACTTCTGATCTGCAGAACAAAACAGAAAAAGCTTATTTAGTGAAATCATAAAATGTGCAATTTTTTATGTAGCAGTAATGCATGACTTACAGAATGAATGAACCTGCAGCTGAACAGAAGCAGTGTGAATAAACCTAAAAATCCAGTGAAAACCACAGCTTCCCATGGCAGTCCATATAAGTCAGGACCAGGCCGGATATCATCAGGAAGTGAAGACACAACCTAAGACACAGAAGTTAAATGGATATATGAATTCTCAAGAAAAAGAGAAGTATAAATTAAACAACTGTACAAGCTTTCACGTGATAAGGCTTTCCTTAACCCTCTCTCTGTCACTCTCACACACACACACACACACACACACATACAAAAGTGGACAGATGCTTTTAAACAGGATGTTCTATAAACCTAAAACCACATTCACGTGATCATACACAGACACAATTTTTAGTAGTTACACATTGTTCTTTATTATTTCTTAAACGTAGCAGTAATAATAATGAATATTTATATCACACATTTGTGCAAAGAGCATTTTAGCACTTTCAACTTTACCGTTACATACTTTTTACAGTCAAGAAATCAAAACCATTAAAAAGGTTACCAACCCATTTATATTTTAAAGGTTTTAAAATAGATTTAAAAAGTAAACAATCTCAGACATCCTCCTCTGTCAATAACCCTCTCTCTGTCACTCTCACACACACACACACACACACACACATACAAAAGTGGACAGATGCTTTTAAACAGGATGTTCTATAAACCTAAAACCACATTCACATGATCATACACAGACACAATTTTTAGTAGTTACACATTGTTCTTTATTATTTCTTAAACGTAGCAGTAATAATAATGAATATTTATATCACACATTTGTGCAAAGAGCATTTTAGCACTTTCAACTTTACCGTTACATACTTTTTACAGTCAAGAAATCAAAACCATTAAAAAGGTTACCAACCCATTTATATTTTAAAGGTTTTAAAATAGATTTAAAAAGTAAACAATCTCAGACATCCTCCTCTGTCAATAACTGACCAAAACCAATGCCACTGTAAGATAAAAAAGACAATATACACACACCTCTCAATACACTAAAGCTAAACCGTCATAAACTGGTAAACAAGGGCAGTTGAAGTCATTGTAGATCTATAAATCAATAAGTTTAACACAATCACACAAATCAATGGTTATTTAAGATGAAATAAGCAACATGTACAGTACCAGATGCTTCAATGCTAACCAGCTATATGTCTTAATACAAAACGGTTTACACAGTATACATCTAATTAAACACTAGTAAATACTGCACTAGAATTAATTCTGTGAACTATAATGATTAATAGAAATATATGACACCTGCCATACATACACACTAACTCTGTTTCATCATACACACTGTGCCACATACATCTTTGATTTTCTCCACGGCGAGTGTGTAGTAAATCTTCGCTGCTCCTTTCATGTCAGTCGCTTCTGTGACGACTGACTCGGCCTTAAATTCGTCTGCCATGATTATATTCAAACTGAGTTATTCTATATTCTATAATCTGTTAATTTATCTGTTGTTATGCCATGGTGCCGGATGCTGCTCTACTCTGACTGCTAGTGCGCACTGCGCTGAGAGGAAGAGCGCACTCTTGTGTTTTAAGGAGGATTTGTAAAGCATAGGATCTTGCGTCTCAAAAATTTAAACCGAGCTACAGTTATATTTGCTTAAATATTCATTTCAAAGCATAAAATATGTATTTTGCTATATAAAACAATAATATTGTTTAATTTTATGCGAAAACCGTAAAATCCACAAAATCGAACACCCCTACAAGGGTCATGGTTTCTTCCACACGTCACCAATTGCTGAACGCCACAACGTTCCGTTCGAGTTTTAAAGAGACAGGCGCATCGACATCGACACTGAGGAATTAGTCAGTAAGCGTACTCGCAAAAATATTTGTCATGAGGTAGTTATGAAACGTCACAGTTTAAAATATGGGTAAGTATGTTTCATTAGTGGGTGTGTCAGTTAAGTATATATCTATAAACAAAGGTCATTGGTCCAGAGACCGGTTGAGCAGCTCAAGTCTGTCTGGATTCAACTCAACTCAAAATGAACGTTACTACTTAACTAACCTTTGTGTCTGCATTAATGTATATTTATTTATCACCTATGTTGGTTTTATAGGTTATTTAGTTGTAGAGACAGTAAGTATTTTTCAATATCGATCAACTTGCCTTGACTGCAAAATACGACACTTTTTGGCGACATGTCAAAACAGAAAATAGACGATAAGTTAGTCGTCTGCGGTTTCCACAAATAGGGTACAATATATTGCGTTAAACACTTTGACAAATATTTTATGTTGATTGATTATGTTATACACATTATGTTATATACACACACAGGTGCATATATACACACAGGTGCATCTAAAAAAAATTTGAATATCGTGAAAAGGTTCATTTTTTGTAACTTATTTCAAAAAGTGAAACTTTCATATATTCTAGATTCATTACATGTAAAGTAAAACGTTTCAAAAGTGTTTTTGTTTTAATTTTGAGGATTAGAGCTTACAGCTCATGAAAGTCAAAAATCCAGTATCTCAAAATATTAGAATATTTCCTAAGATCAATAAAAAAAAAGGATTTGCAAAACAGAAAAGCTCAAGTGCTTTACAGTACATTTATTTATGCAGTCAATACTTGTTCAGGGCTCTTTTAGCACAAATGACTGCATCAGTGAGGTGTGCGATCAGGAAGCGATCAGCCTGTGGCACTGTGGCTCTATTGAAGCACAGGTTTCTTTAATAACGGCCTTCAGCTCCTCTATTGTTGAATTGACCGTTTCTCATCTTTTTCTTGAAAATATGATATCCCATAGATTCTCTATGGAGTTCAGGTCAGGCATGTTGGCTGGCCAGTCAAGCACAGTATTATCATTATCAGCAAACCACTTTGGCACTGTGTGCAGGTGCTAAAGTCCTGCTGGAAAAGGAAATCACCATCTTCATAAAGCTTGTCAGCAGATGGAAGCATAAAGTGCTTCAAAATCTGGTAGACGGCTGCATTGACTTTGGACTTGATAAAACAATGGACTAACACCAACAGATGTCACAGCACCCCAAATCATCACTGACTTTAGAAACTTCACACTGGACTTCAAACAGCTTGGATTATGTGCCTATCCAGTCTTCCTCCAGACTCCAGACCTTGATTTCCAAATGAAATGCAAAATTTACTTTAATCTGAAAAGAGGACTTTGGAACACTGAGCAACAGTCAAGTTCTTTTTCTCCTTAGCCCAGGTAAGATGCTTCTGACATTGTTTCTGTTTCAGAAGTGGCTTGGTAGCCCTTTTCCTGAAGACGGCTGAGCGTGGTGACTCTTGATGCACTGACTCCAGCTTCAGTCCACTCCTTGTGTTCTCCCAAGTGTTTGAATCGGCTTTGCTTGACAGTATTCTCAAGCTTGCGGTCATCCCTGTTGCTTGTGCACCTTTTCCTACCAAGTTTCTTCCTTCCAGTCAACTTTGCATTTAATATGCTTTGATACAGCACTCTGTGAACAGCCACCC